CCTCAAACTTGCGTATTAAGTTTTATTGGGCGGCTACAAATGTTGGTTGGATTTTTCGCACCAGTTGCTGCAACGGCCACATGTGCCTGGCTGTAAGGCGTGGTCTTCTTTATTCATTCTCGTGCCCTTTTGATTGTTAAGCCTTCATTGTCGCTATATGCTTGCTGAAGTTGGACACTCGGGACGTGTTTTTTTGATTGGCCTCTGAAACGCCATTACACATTACCTTTTGTGAATTTGCGTCGTCTAAAACGTATTCACTTTTAGGCGGAGCAAACAGGTCTGGACGCCGCTATGGTGATTCGAGAGTGCCTTGCACCAACTGTGGAAGGCGTATTGGCAGAAACAGACACACCAGTGAGCAGTACGACTCCTCCGGAGACCAGTCTCTTGTCCCTCCTTGAGTCCGCGGCTAATCAAGTGTCGATTACTGCCACAGCTATGGAGCACGGAGAATTCGACTTTGATGGCACTAAGAAGCCCAAGGTAGGCTTTTTATTCACTTTCTTTTCGTTTTTAACCATTGACTCTCCTCTGCATAACACTTTATGCTTTGATTTTATCCTCGTAGCTCTGCAATGTATATTGTTGTCTTTGCAACTTTATGGGGTTTTGAGTGCGTGTTAGATCTCTTTTTAAAAGTCTCCTCCTGTTAGAGCCCTTCAAGCTGGCCTTTTTTTCCACCTAAAACTTTATTCAAGCCTTGATAGACCTCTCCTCTACGTGCATCTCTGACAACGCACTGGTTAACTTCTCTAGACTCAAGAACCCATAATCCAACGCGCAATTGCGTACAGGAAGGCCCAATCCGAATTGGAGAGCTGTCGGGGCAAGTTGGAGTTGAAAGAGGTGGAGTTGCTTGAGCTGAGGCGTGAGTTGAAGGCCCGCGTTGACGAGATCTCCGAGATGACCGTCCGCATTAACATGACCGAAAAGAAACTCGAGACTTCCGGTCGAGGGAATCTGGAGAAGATTGTGGAATTAGAGGATCGTTTACAGGCGATGCAAAACCAACAGAAGAGGACGGAGAAGTGGGTGACGCATTCACTCTATTCTTCTTGTTTACCGCATCAACGTTGTATTATGTGCATGTATGCTTGTGCAGGGAATACGAGCAGACGATTGACGGAATGCAGACCGATTTGGTGGAACTGAAAAAGGAGAACGCTGAATTAAAGGAGAGTTTGCGAAAAACGGGCAAATCAACCATTGGTTTTGGCCTCATGAAACCATCAGGTATACTCATGCAATACCACTCTTACCATCCCCCATTTATAGGTCTCTCACCGGGAGAACTGAGTACCGAAGAAATCGGCACACCGGTTAGTCCAGGTCCAAGATCTCTGGCCTCAAAGATCTCCGCTTATAGGGACGCCTCAAATTGGCTAGCTGAGGTGGGAATGCTCACCATTTAATGTCTGCTAAAATGTACATTTGTAGTACTATCACTATTTTTTTCCT